AGTTTCAGTTCTCATTTTAATTACAGTAGAAGTTTCACTTGTAGTGGTACAAGTTCAGATCTATACTAAAATCAGATTAGTTTCTTCTTAATTAATATATAGACCATGTAGATTTTATTCAGATATGCTCTGAAATGATCATGGCCACATATATCTTAAGTAGAAGATCAAAATGAGAAAGTGGTTTTGAAAATTGGATTTTACTTTGAAAGGACTACAATGTCAATTACAAGGAGATGTTCAGCCTATGATATTATTAGTACTTCTGATGTCTTGAACATTGTTATTATTATGGAGTTAAATTTTCAGATTAATTTTATTCTTTCTTATTTTCAGCAAAGTTATAGAAGCCTACAAACAAAGTTTCTTCACTTAAAGAACTTAAAGAAGTATCTCTAAGTATCTTCTCCTAATTTACTCTGGATTTACTGCAGGTTTACTCCCTTGTAATATATAGATTCAAGACTGTGCTAATAATTATATTGCTCACAACTCTGTGTTCAACTGAGGATCTTAGAGAAAGTTACTTCAAAAAAATGACAAATCTTTCCATGGGACAGAGTATATTTTTAATGTACTTGCTACAATAAATGTCAAAGAGATGTTCAGACACTCCTGTTACATAATTGGTGTTTAAAGAAGTATAATTGAAATGTAAGCATACATCACATGAAATAAGAGGAAAGTTACTACTTTACACCAGTGTAAAGAAAGACTTGTACTTTTAAAGAAAATACTAGATTGTATTTTGTCCAAGGAATATTCCCTTCAGAATAAAATGAAAACTAGTCATAAAATGACACATTAATATTTGTGTTTTCAACACATTCTTGTAATTTCTAGATTTCCCCCCCTTTTTTTTGAAAAACCTAAAATTATTCGAAGAAAAAATGTAAACCCGAAAACCCCTCAAAAAATCAGAAATCTTGTAAAAGTTTTAATTTTTATTAGCAAGAGCTAGTACCTAGAAAGCAGTGTAAAAGGTTTAAGTCTGTGTCTACCTGTCTGTATAGGAAATATTGCTATGTAAAAGTCTTCACAATAAATTAAAGGTGATTCTCAAAGGAAGTCTTGTGAGCCTCACAGTTTTATGTTATTTACAAAAATATTTTTCTGAATTTCTAGTTTGCTTTGGCAGCAGTAGATTGTACAGGAAAACAAAAATCCTGGAGGTAGAATTGAAATCAGATAATTCTGAAAAGGCTAAATCCTGTCAGATACTGAGCTTTTATACAAATAGGGAATTAATTCTAGGATTTATGAATCCCAGTCACAGAATATTTTAGGTGGTTGGGGACCCCTGGAAGTTATTTAGTACAATGCCCTGCTTAAAGCAGAGCCAGCTTTCAAGTCTGATGCCGTTTGATGTTAGATCACATTTCTCAAGACATTGTCCAGATGAGTTATGAAAGTGTTCAAAGATTCCCACAACCATGGACACCCTTTTTCAAATTCGAGTGTTTGTGAATTTCATTTTCCTAATAGTTAGTTACTGAATACTTTATTTTTTTTTTTATTTTTTTTAACTGCGCTATTCTAATCCCTCACTCATTGAGGTTGCTAAATTTTTACTTCTGTCTTCAAAAAATTCAGATTTGGACCAACACAGAACATGATATTTGCACTGAAAATAGTATCACTTAAGGGGTGTTAACACTATAATTCCCTGCAGCCATTCATCAGAACTTCTGTTTACACAGAGCACAGACTTCAGTGGTGAATTCCACAATGGCCATTTAACAAATCAGTTTTGCCGAACTGGTGCAGTTAGCCACAGAAAAGCCTCTACACAAATGGAGCTCCAGTTAGAGCTCGGGTAAACTTTGTACCTCAGTCTTCCTTTCAATACTGTATTCTGCTCCTGCTGTTGTGTTTTATAGGCTAGTGTGAATGAAGGAGAGAGAGAAACGTAAATCTGCCTTCTCTTTTTCAAAATCCTTTGTGGTAATATTGTCTTGCAGTACATCCTGTGACTAATGTTCATTTTTCATGCTGCAGAAATTGTAGTCCTTCCATCCATTTCCAGATAGAAATGTTTCTAATTGAGTATGCAGAGACTTTTAAAATTTTCTTTGTTCTTATCTTGTAGAATCAGTTGTTAAAAATGCTTTAAAAATTAATGTAAGAAATGAGCTTCATGAAAGTTTTGGAAATTGGCAGCACATACCTTGAGCATAATCGTAGTATAGTTGTGGGAAGAGACCTCTGGAGATCATCTAGTCCACCTCCCTGCTCAAAGTAGTGTCAGTTAGAGCCATATATTCAGTCTTGTCCTGTACTCAAGGTTTTGAATCCTGTGGATGGAGACTGCACCATCTGTGTGGGCAACTCATTCCAATATTTGAATACTCTGATACAGAAGAATTTGTGGGTGTTTTAAGGTTTAAGTTGAATTTCCTGTGTATTGAATTTGTTCCCATTGTTTTGCATCCTATCACTGGGCACCACTGGGAAGAATCTTTCTCTGTCTTCTTTACTGTCTCACATCAGAGTTTATATGTGTCAACTAAGGCCCCCAAGCTTTCTCTTCTGAATATTAAAAATCCCTGTTGTCTAAGCTTTTGCACAAATTCTGCAATGAACTCACTGCTGCCTGTCTGTGAGATTATTGTGTTGAATAGAGAACAATCATGTGTCTTGAGCTGCTGGTGATGCTCTTGAGTGCAGCCCAGGATACTGTCAGCTACCCTTCCCACAAGAATGGATTGTTGGCTCTGGGTCAGTTCTGTGTCCACTGGGACCTCCAGGTCCTTTCCTGACAAGATGTTTCCCAGTTGGCTTGCCCCCGGCCTCTACTGGTGCATGGGGCTGTTCTGCTGCAGCTACAGAACTCGCATTTCCTGCTGCTGGTCTTCCTAAGATCTCTGTTGGTTTGTTTCTCCAACCTGTTGAGTGAACAGAGTGTTCTGGTCTGTCAGCACCTGCTCCTGGTTTTGTGTCATCTGCATACTGAGACATGGCATTCTGATGGCACTCTGTCCCATCACCCAGGCCATTAGTGAAAACTTTATTGCCCTCAGCAAGGTAAACCACCTGTGGCTGGCTTCCTTACCACTAATCACAACCTTTTAGGCACAATAATTCACACAGTTTTCAGTCTACATCACTTTCTATTTGTCCAGCTTGTACTTCATCAATTTATCTATGGAGTTATGATGGCAGACAATGTCAACAGCCTTGCTAAAGTAAGCTGAACAACTTTCAGCATCTCAACCAGTCATCATGATGTCAAGTTGGCTGGTCAGGATTGATTTCACCTTCGCAAATCCCGGCTGACTACTCGCAGGCATGTTTTTGTCCTTCATATGTTTGTAAATGGTTGCTAGGAGGATTTGCTTCTGTCTCAAGACCTCACAAACATTATGAGGAGTTCATTTTACTATGGCAGAAGAAACAAGTAAAAGCAAATCCAGGGGCTAGAGGGAGAAGGCTTAGTGCTGTGCTTGTGCTTGAGAAGTGTTTGAAAAGTGCTTTTCAATGGGTCCTCCATTTAGACCAGGTCTGGGACCCCTGGCCAGCAGCAAGCAGCTGCTGTCAGAGAGGAAGGAAATATTAGGAGTGCTGGGGCCTGAGAGCTTCCCTCCCTGCAGAAGGATTCCCAGCATTGCTAAGTCACTGGGATCTCCTGTAGGACGAACTCAGAAGATGAGTCCTGAAGTTTTATATTTAAATGGTATGTGGATTTTGCTAGCACAAAGGAGGCTGAGCTAAATTGCTTCTAAGTATAGGGCTCTGTTGTGTTCTTCTGTAGTTAGCACTGTTAATAAAGGAATAGTGCCTTTATAACACTGAGCTTACTATGACTCTGAAGAAAAGATTTAGCATTTATTTTAATTTGTTTATTAGTACAAAAATGTGTACATCTGAGCATTTAGCAATAATTCGCTGTAATTCTGAAGTCTTCAGTATTTAAAGGAAATCTATGGTGCAGCTAATTTGGTAGAAATAGAAGAAAAATCTGCAGTTGGAAAATTACAGTGTGTAGGTGTTGAAATGCCTCCTGCTTCACATTCTTAATTGGCAGTAAGCCAGAAACTAAGAATTTCTGGTTTAAAGGGAAATGCTTCCCTTTTCTTTACATTTTGATGGATAAAAGTAGCATTTTTTTTGCATTTTTTTAGCACTTAGGGTTTCTTTCATCTTGATACAAAATGAATAAAATTTTAATTAAATAGCTTCTCCAAGTTACCTTGGCTTTTTGCATTACTACTGGATAACACAAAGATATGTATGCCTTGCCAAAGGAAAAGGATGTGTTGATGTTTAGTTTTAGTTTTAATTTTGGCATCCAGACCCTCTTGCTTTCTGATTCTATTCTGGGAGTTGATCCAGTAGAGTAATTTTTATTTTCACCTCATACTTTTTTTCATTGCTGCCTACCATTTCCTTCCCATCCTGCTTTTGTTTTGTTACCTTTTTCAATTGTGGGATACCACTGTGAGAGACAGAATGAGGAGAAAGGTACAAGATCTGTAATTTAACCAAGTTTTTATATCCATTTTTAATCATGTTTGTGTGCATATGACTATATGTCTGACTGGTTTCCCTACAAAAGGAAATAATGGTAGATTTCTGTTAAAATATTGTATATTGTGTGTTGTTTTAATCTTGTACAAGTTTACATCTTGTGTTTATATCTTCTATTTGCCCACTTCCTATGGTTTATCCCTTGTGTTGCTGTAAGGCAAAAGATTCCATGAAACCAATGCCTTGATCATCTGGCTTGAAAAGATCTTTCAAAAGTTTCATATTTTTATGCAAAGCTACACTAAAAATTAAAGCATTCCATGTAGGAAATGATATATAATAGCTTGACAGGATGGTATTTTAAAATGTGGACTTCTACCACATATTATAAAAAAAAAATAATGCCTCTCTTTGCTTGCATGAAAAGCCTGAATAGGATAGATTTATTTTTCTTGGTTTTGTTTTTTTAATGAAAGCTGTGAGCTTGTAATCATCATAGTGAGTAATGCAGTGTATGTTTATGTTTTTGTAAGTTCTGGCCAGGATATCCAAGGAACAAGTGTGGTGGCAAATCTTCCAGTTCTTATGAGACAGAATCCTGCGGAAACACTTCGTCGGGTTTTACCAAAAATCAGGGTAAGTTTTGTGTATTGAGGTTTGGATGTATCTATTTCTGACAGTTTAAGTATTTTAACAAAGTAATAAAAAATCCCACTTTTATTGCAAGCTCAGTCTCTAGGAGGTGTATGTCCAGTAGGTCTCCCACATTAATCCACTGAATTTAAGAAGTATTACAGGTACAGTTTTTAAAAAATTGTTACAACAGTGGGAAAAAGAAAGTAGAATTAATACTACTAAAATGATTTACCAGTGTTTTGACAGCTTTTTGAAGATTCTTTTTGAGGACTATCCAGGCATAATGGTTGATTCTGATGTTCTCAACTGCCTTTCATCCAAACATTAAGATCTTGATGGTGCTGTCCAGAAGAGTATAGTTTCCTTTTAGCTGTCTGTGCAATTTCACGTTCTGCCCTCCACATTTTTAGTACATCACTGCTAGTTGTGATAAATGCATGCTTACCATGTAATTTTATACAGTAATTTTATATGGAGATATGTTTTTATAAAAGGTATTTGAGTTGTTTAACCTGGAGAAGAGAAGGCTCTGGGTACACCTTATTTTGACTTTACAGTTCTTAAAAGGGGCTTATAAAAAGATAAGGACAAACTTCTTGGCAGTGCTTTTTCAGATATGACAAGGGGCAATGGGGTTAAACTAATGAGGGATAGATTCAGACTAGATGTAAGGAGGAAGTTTTTTAACATGAGGATGGTAAAGCACTGGAACAGATTTCCCAGAGAAGTTATGGATGCTCTATCCGTGGAAATGTTCAAAGTCAGACTGGATGGGACTCTGAGCAACCTGGTCTAGTGGCAGGTGTCCCTGCTGTTTGCTGTGGGGGAGGACTAGCTAACTTTTAAGGGTCCCTTCCAACCCAAACCATTCTATGATTCTGTGATTGTGGAGAAGATACCCGTCTCTGTATTTCCACTCTGTCCCAGATAATGAACGCTTGACAACAAGAAATGTACAAGTTCATTTAAAGTGTGGTTTAAGGAGCAGCATTGGCCAAATAAGAACAAACTAAATCACAAATGCAAATGCAAAACTTAATAATGCTAAAGACCCCTAGGACCCCTGCAGAAGAAGAGGGTTGGAGAGGACCTTATCAATGTATACAAATACCTAACAAAGCAGAGACAGGCTCTCTGCAGTGGTATCCAGTGACAGAACTGCAACTCTTGTTGGAGTGTGCACCAACAGAAACACAGGAGGTTTCTTCTGAACATCAGGAATGATTTTTTCACTGTGAGGGTGACTGAGCAGTGGCACAAGTTGCTTAGAGATGTTATTGCCTTCCTCCTTGGAGGTATTGAAAAGCAGTCTGGGCATGTCTTAGCTGTAACATGCCCTGCTTGAGCAGGGGGATTGGAGAAAATGCCCTCCAGAAGACCCTTCCAGCCTCAAGCATTCTGTGAATATCAGACATCACCTCTCAACTTCATGTTATCTCCTGAAACATCTGTGATCTCAGGAGACTTCTGTTCCTTAAGAGGAGCTGTTCCTACTTTTGTCTGATTATTTAGATTCAGCAAATACCAAGTCAAGAAATAGCTCTCCTCAGGACTAAGGATAGGTGTAGACTGAGAGATTGTTTAGAAAATGGTAAACTGCTTCTGGTTGCATTCTGTGCTATAAGATACAGGCCAATAGGCATTTTGCTTAAATATGTGTAAGTGTAAAAGTGCTTTGAGAAAAATGACTTGAAATTTCAAAGTAATTGGTAACCCTTCAACTTGCACCAAATATCTGCAGTTACAATGACATTATTCTGACATATACAATGCAGTCTTTCTAAACCAATCTACTGGTTTCAAGAAAAGTTGGTTTGTTTTTTTATGATTTACCATACATCAATCTGTTTTTGCCTCTGGTTTTCTACTTTGAGAGCAGAATTCTTCCTGAAATTAAGGGGGAATAAGAAACAATGTGGATTTTCTACCCTTATTTTTCAAGCTGTAGAGAAGTGCTAGTCTTGGACTGTCTTCAATAAAAAGTCTAGTATGGGAATACAGTTTTTGATTCTAGTTTTTAGGTTTTTTTTATATAGGGATGAAGAAAATATTTGAAAGTATGATCATTTGCATGAATAGGGCCTAGAGCCTGGAAAGTATTTGTACAGTGGGAGCTGGATCTCAGTGTGATCTTTGATCAGGCTGTACTTAGTTACTTTGTAAAAGTATCTTCCTGTATATTAAAGATATTCAACTGAAAATAGTGTACGGAGAAAGAAGCATTAGGAATTGAAGACAGAAATATTTGAAATGAAGCAGAGAACATTAATAATAAATAAAATCAATCTTTGAGCAAATTACTGAGAAAAGTAGTGTGGCTTTCATCTTACAGTGTCATTTAAACCCAAACTGGATGACTTCCTAGATGACAAATTAAATGAAACCTAAGTTAATGGGCTCCCGACAGGGGTATTAAAGTAAAATATAATGAGGTCAGTCTAAATCCAAGCATTCCTTTCAAGTTTAAACTTTATAAACTGAAAATTTGTGGAATGTATATGAATTAAGTTCCTTTCTGTGGGAATGCTCTTATAAAGACAGTTCTTCAATGGTGTTCTGTTATCTAATATTATTTATCTGTAGTAGAAGTGATGTTTTACCCATGTCCACTGCACTTTTAACTGCAAAACAGCATTTGACATCATAAACTTGACCTATATTTTTCTTAACCTTGTTTTTATTGAAGGAATCATCCTGACCATTAATTGGAAACTTTTATAGTCTGTAAAGGCATAATTGAACTCAGCTGTGATGAGTCTTGCAGATGTAATCTTTCATTGCAGGGAAATAAACTGATTTAAATTATTGCACTTGGTTCTACTTCTTTAGGTTGGGAATAATAATTTGTGAAATCAAATTGGCACATGAAAAATGAGTTATGTAGTAGTTTCAGGAGGCTGTTTGTTTGAAAGTATTGTCACCATACAATTGCATAAAGAAACCAGTGTACTTATTTAGCATACTTGCAGACACCCAAAGCAAAATGAATGTTTTTATTAGAGCTGAGGGTAAAGCAGATAAAGAAAGAAATAAATGCAAGGAATGTTCAGTCTGAATACCTTACAAATTTGTATTTCATTTGTGAAAATTTGATAAATCCAGTTACTTCTAGAAGTATAGAAATGGGTGGATGCATATTGCTTATCATTCTGTGAAATCTAATTAAATTGAAATTATATCAAAGACACTATAACATAAGTGTTTTAGGTCTGAGATTAATAAAATCAATACATCAATAAATGTGACATACATAACTAATTATTGAATTAAGTGTCAGTACTTCGGTTATGCTGTTTAAACAAACCTACAGTATATAATTTAGATGTTAATGTAATGAGATTAGGAAGTTGTATTTTTTTAATTCTGCCATTAAAATGAAATTGAATCCTTGTATGTGTTCTTCTGCATAGAGAACTCCACTCTGGATTTCTGCATGCACCTCCTCATGAACCTTGGAAGTCATTGAAATGCAGATTTAGGGAAAGCTTAGACATTCTTACAAGCATTTCTCTTTGTCCACAAAATGGCTCTTTTCAAATGATGTTAATTGTATTTTTCCTGCTTTCCATCTTTGGGCTCTGCAACTTAAAGTGATGGAGGATTGCAGGTGTCTATCTGAATGACTAATAAGCCATTTTTCCAAATGCTGTGATTGCAGCAAACTATGATTATTCTTGTTGTTGTATATACATCAAGCCTTATTCAGTGTTGTCTGATTAGTTCCAAACTCATTTTCATACTTACTTATTTTCCTAATTTATCAGCCTCCTCTTGAAACCTTTTCTTTTCCATAGCTGATTTTATAGTTTAAGAAAAGTTGGGATGATTTTCATCCTTCCTTATACCTAACATTAATTTTAAGATCCATTCTCATTGTATCCTTGAGCTTCTGTATTCTCCATTATTTCTGTGTCTTTTAGTCTTAAATGAAAATTTCTATCATACCAATCCAATTACTTAAATGATTTGACTATGTCTCTGCATGCAGCATTCTTTCAAGAGAATTCTGTTGTTGCAGGACAAAATGTGCATTTAAACTAGAGGTGAATTTTCTTTTTTCCAATTAATGGAATAAACCAGGCTTTCTAATTTTAAGTTTTGATGCCTGAGTTGAACTTGTAGACATTAGAATAGTTAAGAACACGCTAATACCCTTAAATTCCATTAAATATGTTTGTCTGAAAACAGGGAGAGCTTTTTTTGTCTGGAGTGAAAATTTGTGGAGTTTCCATGTATAGAAAAATACATTACTTTCTAAATAAATAAATTTATATTAAGTAAATTTAAGTTACTCAGCTTGGATTGTATGAAAATGGAAAGAGGAGACCCATACATTTCCAAATGCAGAACTGTACAGTTCTGAGTGTAAACATCAGTGCAGGCAGGTGTGTAAGCAATCTAGAAATTTATATTTCAATGTCTCCCGAGGTCCATGAGGAGGCACATCCAGAGAATGTGTTCTCACACATGACTATCCAGAGTTATGTGGATCAGTGGAGGAGACTATTTGGGAACTTTGTTTGTTGGTAAGTAACCCTGTTTGTATTGCGTACAAAGTGAATACGTACGGAAAACGGAATTCATAGAATCACAGAATAATTTAGGTTGGAAAAGACCTTTAAGTTCATCAAGTTCAACTGTTAACTAGGCATTGCTCCATGATTTTCTGGTCTGTGCTGCTGTGTTAGCATCCAGTGTGTAGATAGTGCTCTTGGTTCTCTTGGTGATGTTTTTTTGAACAAGTGTAAGCCAGAATTCCTGAAAAGTATGAACAGGTATTCTGATCCAAAAATCTTCAAAATACAAAATTGGTGGGTGTCCTTATGTTTTCTTGGATGTGGCTGTAAGAGCAATAGTGGAACAAGGACAAAGTTTGTGGAAAGAAGGGGGCAGGAGGTTTCATGGGTATTGAAGGCAAGTGTTTTGTTGGAAAGCAGCATAATGCTGTTTCTCTTTTTCATTTGCTGGAACAAGGACACAGAGAATCCTTTTAGAAAGAAACATGGTTGTAAAGTGAGACAGGTCTTGAGAGATAAGTTATGGTTCTCCTTGAACTAAGATAAGCTAATAATTGTACATTTGCATGTACAAATGGTTTGACATTTGTAGAATGAAAACCTCTTGGTTTTTACTAAGTTGATAATTTCTCAGATGTTCTCTACAAGCTATTTTCTCAGCAAAATTCCTCTGAGATGCAATGCTTAGAGTCATAGAAATGTTAAATTTGGAAAAGCCCTAAGATTATCGAGTCCAGTTGTTTACCCAGCACCACCATTTCCATCATGTCTCTGAGTTCCATATCCACATGCCTTTTGAACACTTCCAGGAAAGGTGGTTCTACCACGTCCCTGGCAGCCTGTTCCAATGCCTGACCACCTTTCCAGTGAGGAAAGCCACTCTGCACCCACTCTACCCCCAGCCTGTAGCACTGCATGGGGTTTGTGTCCCTCAGGTGGAGCACCCAGAGCTTGCCTTTGTTGAACCTCAGACCATTGGCCTTGGCCTTGATCTTAATTAAGATATTAAACAGCCAGCCCCAGCACTGAGCCCTGGGGATCCCCACTAGAGACTGGCTGCCAGCTGGGTGTAATTCCATTCACCAGCACTCGGGACCCGGCACTGCAGCCAGTTTGTAACCCAGTGAAGAGTCCAGTCCATAAGCAACCCTGCACTTAGGTGCAAAATGATTTATTTTTTTAAAATCTTATTCAGGCTTATTTTTATTTTCAATTAAAAGTCCAGCTTATTTTGTGATTTTTGGCAAGTGATCTGAGAAAACACTGTTCATATCACTTAAAAAAAGAAACAGAAACACATATATGAAGTGCTAAGTAGAAAATATGGGCTTTAGACTCCTATTGAATTTGCCATCATTCTTAAAATGAGTGTAATGCATTAGTAGTAGAAAAATAAACTCATTTTATTTTCTCACAAAATAGAAAGACACACTTAGAAAAGTAAACAAATGGAATATTCACTTAGTTGATATTTACAATTACTAATACTTACAACGAATGCTGTCAAAGGTTGAGGCTTGCAAGGTCTGTGCATAAATCTGAAATTTAAAATTTAAATTTCCCATTTCTAAATTTAAAAAATAGTAATATTTAATTTCGTTTCAACATATTAACTTTGTTTAAATTTGAATAGATGATTTTAAAGACAACCCAGTTAATTCTTGTGTGTCAGAGCTCAGAAGTACTAAATGTTTAGTTAGCTAAATAAATATTCTAGTGTATTTTGCTTTATTCTTAAGACTATATATATGTACTTTTCATTTGCATTCCATTCTAGTCAAGGAGTGAAATTTAAACTGCCTTCTGCTATTTTAGTATCTCTTACTGAATGAATGAATGAAATACTTCTTTTTAATTTGTGTGCATAAACAGCAGAAGTGCAATTGTTGGCTCGTGTGTTTCTACCTCTCATTTTGCAAAGCAGGAAAATGCACTCATTGCCTTGATGAAACTTAAAGTCACCAAAAATATTATAAGTAACTTTTTTTTCTTAGAAGATTCATGATATTTTATAATGCATCAAGAAAATATAATGTCTCCAATAATTTGACATAAAAAAAATAAATTGTTAAGAGAAAATAATTTTACAGCAAATTTTGTAGTTTACCCAGGTTGTTGCATATTAATTCTAAGTGAATGCAAAAATTTGGATGTTGTTTCAGGACATTTCTGCCTCACTCTCTAAATTGTTATAATTTATAATTATACAGGAGGTTCTGCATGTTGCAGGAGTGGAAATGCAGTTAACAGCTGCTGTTTCTTTTTTGACTGTTCTGCAAGAGGAGTCGGTGTCCATTCATACGTACTCCCACTCCTTCCTACACATCATTCTCCAGAACCTGGAACACAGAGATGCAGGTCAGGGCTGTACAGATACTCTGATGGCTGATGACCTCTACATGTTTTGTTTCCTTAGTGGCCTCACAATACAGTGTCAACAGTGAGTGAAATCACTGTGACTTTGTATCTAGACTTGCATGAATGAAAAGATTTTTGCATGATGACCACTTTCATATTAATATTTATTAATATTATTATTAAATGTAATTCTGATTGAAGAAAAAAAAAACCTCTCATTTTGCTTGAAGGATTAAATTCCAAAGTTGTTTCTGAGTCTGAGCTTCTCCTGAAGTACCAACATTTTGTGGCTGAGAAAATGGAGGGAGGATGGTTGAGATTTCTTCTGTGTTGATTATTTTTTTGTAATTTCTTTGACAGTAATTTTAGAATGCAAAGGAAAAAAAAAGGGCTGTTGTGAAACTCAAAAGTTTCAGTGGGCATAAGAAAAGAATATGCTTCTAAGTGAGGGGAATTAGCTTTATAAAGCAATCAGACTAGTTATTAATTTTATATAGAAATTGGAAATGGAAAAGAAATGGGGGCAGACTTTGCTTCTTATCTATCCTGCTTCTTACCTATCCTACTTCTTACTCTGAATTCTTGAATGTTTATATAGTGGCTTTCAGGTACATAGCTCCTTGAAGATGTGTAAAGAGAGCAAATTTTGTAAAACTGGTGTATGTTTTGGTTTAGTTGTATGTACAATATGAGACATCACATGTAACTCATTTCTTTTAAATAGGTGTCAGCAATGCATGGTTAGAAACTCTTCTTGCTGTAATAGAAGCTTTACCAAAAGAAACTATCAGACATGAGGTAATTCTAATCTCTCATGCTAACAAAAAAAAATTAAGATTTTAAGGTTGTATTTCCCTGCAAGTTTTATTCACCTCAGTCAGATTTGTGGCAATTTCACTGTACCTGTGAAGATGGTAATGGTTGTGGAACACACTCTAAGTGACAAATGCATGAAAAGGTGAGACAGGAAGGTCACCCTAAAAAAAGATGTTTTCTTCAGCAAATAAAGCCAGCACTTACTTATATTCCACTGTAACACTTCCACTGCACTTTGTATTCTCAGTAACATCTTTTCCTGCATCCTGTTTTGGTTTACAGGATAGTATCTCACTCTGTGTCTTCATGAAGAAATGACATTTTGTTTACTATTGGACTAAAATTCCAATATCTGCTAAATGGAACTGAATGCTGGAGATCCATTCCTTAGTGTATTTCAGTAGTTTTTGGTATAACAAAACTCTAATGCACTGCAAACACTTAATTTTTCACTGTGTAGCTCAAGAAAGAAAAAGAAAATCTGTCAGCAAGTTATAATGCCAATCCCCTTTAGTCAACTGATTTATTTTTAGTGTTGTAGTATATATATTTATATATATATTTAGTATATAGTATATATACATATAATTTTAAGTATTCATATTTTGTTAAGTTTAAAAGCTTTGCAGCAGATATACTGACTGTGTTTATAACAATATGGATATTTAAATGACTGTTTGCGTAGTATAAAAATTCTCATTAAAATAAGAATAGAATCCAGAACTGTTTAAAAAATCAGCTTCTAAAGGGTAAAAAGTTAGGTTGGAAGAAACACAGAGAAATTATTCTAGTCACCTCCAAAATATAATTGCAGTGTAATTTTAAAGATGTCATTTAAACAAAATCGACTATTAATGTGCATAGGCACCATTATTGTTAGTACTGATTAATTCAGTGTAAAGGTTCATGACATTTGGAATATGTTTTTCTAGATTTTTTCTTTAAGAAGAGGAATACTTAATTTAATGCTCACAATTTTTCTCTTCTTTTTTCTTCTTTTTTTTTCCCATGTAGATCCTGAATCCACTTGTTTCCAAAGCACAGCTTTCTCAAACACTTCAGTCCCGCTTAGTTAGTTGTAAAATCATGGGAAAAGTAGCTAACAAATTTGAAGCTCATATGTAAGTAGAGTGTCAATATATTTACATTCCACAGTGGAAACCAGTATTTCTTTATTAGTGGACAAAAATTACTACAAGAAAAGTAGACTTTATTGCAAAAATGAAATGCTTTTTTTCATGCTCATTTTCAATCACAGATCCCTTTCATTATTTAACTAGCATGTTCAGACTTTCTGATGTTCATCGTTTCATAACTTGAATTTGTATGTTCTTTCACCAATTTGAATGGATAACATTTTCATGCCCTTTTTCCATATTGTTTTTCTTACGAGAAAATAAGCCACACAGTGGATTTCTCTGCAAACTTACAGGCTCAAAACACAGCTTCATCTCCTTAGAATTTTTTGTCATAGAAAGAGGAATTCCATTCCTAACTTTTTATTATGTGACCAAATTTAGCATGTAGGTCTGGTTTTTTTTCTATCCCTAATGAAAATGTAGATATATCAGGAACTACTGCTGTTCCCTGATATTACCCAGCCCTTAGATTCGGTCTCTGTGAGCTGGGACAGAAGAGGGTGCAATGATGAAAGTAAATTTGACTCACTCATCTGCCCAAAGCTGTTGGTGTGGTACATTCCTTGGTCAGTTTACCCAGGTTTATGGCAGTAGGACCACACCAACAAATATGTTTGCTATCTGGGCAACCCGACAGCATGACTTGGAATTACAATAGAAATCCACTGTGGGCCACTAAATGCCCAGAAATGTAAGAATGCAGCATAACAGGACAATATGACAGGACATTTAGGAATACATTTCTTTAGATTATGGGCTTTTTTTCTTCAATAAAAAAGAACTAGAAGCACCCAAAAGGAAACTATCTAAATCTTCATTTGCTGTTTAGACTGTACTTGTTGACATTCAAAAGTTAATGGAAATGGTAGAATAGTATTTTTTGAGAATGTTACCAAACCTTTATGTTCCAAATCTCTAGGTCTGTCAGAATAGCAGTTTCATTTATTTATTTGAAGTTACGCTCCCATGGACATACGTGAATTTAGGGATTACTTGGAATCTTATGTGAAAATACAGTAGTGTTAATTAGTAGTCTTAATAATCAACACACATCTTTTGTGGTGTTTCTTCAACGATTCCTTGCTGTTCAGAAGCAGGAATCCCCTCATTTCAGTAAACAGGTCTTAGCAGCTTTTCTGCACAGCCACTACATTTTAAGAAGATAACTCAGAATTTTCTGAGACATCTTGTTCTTCTGGTAGAGACCTCTGAGTGCAGTTCAGAGGCCTGAAAAGAGAGGTTTAGAATGTGGCAGAATGAATAAAATTCAGGATGCACTCTCGTTCCCCTTTGAGAAGGGCTTCTGGTACAGGCCCAGGAGACAGATCTATCCTCAGGAGTAGGCAATATATAAGCATATCTTCACATTCTTCTACAGAATGGCACAGTTTTTCCTCATAAAATTTATATTATAATAAAAAATTTTATTTGATGTTACTCCCAGGTTATTTTATATTCTGTCCTTGTCATGGAACATTAGTTTTTCTACCCTCTGTTCCAGTGTTCCAAGTTTAAAAGTTTTTTATTTTTATTTTTTAATTTTTTTTATGTAGCCCCTAATTTAATATATTCTAAAATGCTGAACTTCCAACACTGTACAATTTCTTGAAACTTGAAGCTAAATTTTTCTGTAAGAAGTAAATTAATTTTCACTGGAATGAATGCAAGCTGGCTTGCAAATTTGCTTGTCATTGCCTGCATATTATTTATCTGAGTTTTGCAGTAACATAAGAATTTTTATAGAGATATTTTATGAATACTTATGACAGAACCATGGGAAGTGAAAGGAAACACAATAGCTGATTCTGTCAAGTTGTAATATGTGTTTTTACTGAAGTAACATATTTCAAAATCTCAAAATTTTTATTTTGTATCTGCCTTTGATTTACATGAATACTTGGTCTACTTGCCTGAAGATATTGCAATATTCAAGCTTTTAATCTGAAATTCTTTTTCTCCTTTTTTCCTAATTATGTCTTGGGTGATACCTGCATATCAAAGGTGAAGTATTACAGACATTTAATTGGGATTTGCATTTCCATTTATATAATCTTTTTATTCTTTCAGTGGCTGTTCAGAAGTTGTTCTGAAGATGTTTATTAAATGAGGACAGCATTCTACTACAGTAGCCTACCTACTATTTTTGTAGTTTATAAGAAATTATAGATGAAATATGAGCGAATTATAATGACAGTAACTATTCCTTTTCCTGTGTCTTTGGAGCACATATTTGCATCCAATGTACAATATTCATTTCTAATTGCTGATTATCAGAAAAATAATTTACTGTGTGTGATAAATTAGTAATATATGGGATAAACAAGTAATATGTGAGTAAAGTTCAGTACAGCTCAATAGATTTAATATATTCTTGTTCTATATTTTCATAAAAAATATTCATGTTTTTAGTATTAAAAGGGAGGTTCTTCCATTGGTAAAATCACTGTGCCAGGATGTGGAATATGAAGTTAGAACTTGCATGTGTCGGCAACTGGAACATGTAGCTCGAGGAATAGGGTGAGTGGAATTTGCCTGGCTGATCTTAAATGCAAAATATTTCTCTAAAATGTTAACCTAAAAGCTCCTTTTAAAATTGCTGAATTCATGCATATTCAATAATGAATTTGAAATGTACAGATGTGTTCTTAGTACTTGGCTGTTGGAAGTTGTTTCTTTTTCGCTTCAAGATTTTTCTTTCTCTTTCATTGTAAAAGAGCGTTATAATATATAGTGAAAGAGAGTAAAGGTTATTGCTGAACCATAAACCCAGCAGTTTTTTTGTAAATAATCTATATCTGTAACTTCTTGAAATTATCTTGATTATCCATTGATGATGGATTACTATCAATAAATAATTTTATTATTTAAAAATTCTGACAAGTATTAGCAGTTTTAATAATTACTGTGCAGTTTTTTGAGAAAAGATGTTAAATGGCTTTTGTAAGCAAATTTCAGCTCAGTATCAACTTTTATTTGAAGCTTGAAGGCCTTCACTATTCACACATAGGATTGAAAAAGTCTGGAACTTTAATAAAAGAAAATGTTAATTACACTCAGGATTGGTCTCAGAGTGAACAAATATTTTAAAATTCAGGGTCTCTCTACTTATCATTTTATCAGGGAGGAAAAACAGCAGTAACTTCTTTTACAGAATTGAAAAATTATCAAGTAACATCCCTTACCCAGTGCTAGACAGCAGAGAGAGATTAGATCTTATACTAACAAGTTACCATACTGTAAATGAAGTTTTCTTAATTCTGTTTAGTGTCTTTAAAATGAACTAAATTTCACTTATTCTACCTTGGATTTGAAAGTTTAAAAAAATCATAGGTATTATGCAGTGGCAAATGACAGCATTATTGGGTATTTAGTCCACCTTAGAATAGTGGGTTTGATAGGGCTAAATACTTTGTTATAATTTAGTGGTCTGTCCTGTGTATTTTTCTCTGATTCTTTCCTCACCAAACTTAATTTTTAGCATTAATGTATTCGTATCGACTGTTCTCTCTCTGAAGTTTTTTACTCTAATCCCTTCTCAATGCTTTAGATGATTTAATCTCATGAGAAATGGTGGACATTGAACATTTTCAGTATGGAAGCTATTCCACTGTGTCATGCTGAAGATGAATAGGTAGTAGGTAAATTAAAAAGTAACAGATATGAGCAAATTTTCAGGTAAATATCGAAGGTATAATGTGACAACAGTCCAAATGCATATTTTTACTAATTAATGTTATAGTCATTAAATGATCTATAATTTTCTCATAATTTTATTTGAATGTTTAATCATTTACTTGGAGGAATGCTGTTAACACCTCATCCTGGAGTTATTTAGCACTATATTAGTAGGTCAGTCTGTACCAAAGCAAAAAAGGACAAGTGGAACCCTTTCTTTACTACTTTAAACCAAGGCCAAAAGCCAGTGCTTAGAGTAGTTGGGAAATTGCATTTTCTCTGAGTAGTAGCTGTTCTCTGTAAAGAAGGCTTATCTTTGATATATAAAATTTCCAGCATGGCTTATACTTACTAAATTTTGGCTTTGGACCATCATATTGAGCATATTTTAGCATAAGAATTTTTTTAGTGATACAGTGAAATATCAGGAGTCATTTGATTTTTTTCAGACTTTATTTTCTCTAATTTATTTTGAGCTAATTTGAGTGCTTTTTTCAAGCAAATGATGAAGTTTTGCATTTAAAATTTTCATGTTTCTCTGACAAAGAAGAAAAGTCCTGAGATTGACTGGAAGTTTTTATTTAATTTTCTTAGGGCTTTGTCAGTTTTTTCTTCTTGACTACCCAAAAAACACCTAAATGAGTATTTCAAGGAAGAATTCTGTTTTGTGGTGGCAGAATTGTTTCACTGTAAGTTTTCTTTTGACTGCTTGCTTCATGTTGCAGGACAGATCTAACAAAAACCGTGGTGCTTCCTGAGTTAGTGGAACTGGCCAGAGATGAGGGCAGCAGTGTACGCCTGGCAGCTTTTGAGACTTTAGTGAATCTGCTCGATATGTTTGATGCAGGTAGGAATTTAATTTAGGCACAGTAGCCCAATTCTTAGTACTCTAGTGCATCTTATAATTGTGTTTAAATGCTTTTTGTTCTGACAGCATTACTCAGACATTTCAGATTTTGTTTTGTTCGTTGTCCTTTATATTTCCTTGTATTTCATGTCTTGCAGTGCTTTATATGCAGGAAGTTTTAAGGGAGGTGAGCAAGTTGTCTATGAAATCAATTATCATATTCCAAGTTTCTAGTATAATATGTTTAAACAGAATGAGTAAAACACCTGTATAAATTATGGGAATATTGTGTTTTTAGTATTTAATTAATTAATGTAGTGCTATCAGTGCACAGAATACAAAGTGTTAGCTCAACAAAAATGTACTGTACAGGAACTTGGTGATTAATTACTATAATATATGGTTTTATTTAAGCCATATACAGGAGTGGATAAGGAAAAGAAAAAAATAATACAGTTTTGGGGAGAATACTGTAAATAGACTTTTTAGCAGTTAGTGTTTATATCAATAAGTATGATAGTAGCTTTATTTTCTAATTCTTGAGCCTCTGTACTGATGCTATCAAGTTTGTGCCTCTCTTTGCACCTCTCAGTCTTCACTCCTCCTCCCTACTCTTTGCTGTAACTACTGCTTTGAGTTACTGTAAGAAACTTAGAGAAAGCAATCAGAGGTTATTTGCAGGTCTTTAAGGAATGTTTCTAGAAATTAGGTTTGCGTGGGTTTTGTTTTCATGGCTGAACTAGAAAATGAACACTTTTGAAGGTAGATGAGCCAAAAAGTCATCCTAGAGTTTCTCTCCCACAATATCAAAATATTTCTTCAGCCAAACCTAACTTTGTTTAGCCACATTAATTTGCTGAATCTTGCTGTTCATCTACCAAAAACAAATCATGATCCCTTTAAAACTCAAACATTTTAATACAATGATTTTATTTAAATTAAGTCCAAAGATATAAATTTCTTCAAACATTTTCTCCTTTATTTTATAAGGACACAGAGTATTTGGATTTGGCTTTAGTTTCTAAATGATTTAATTTCTTTCCTGTGTCCTTAACTATTTTGTGTCTCTGTAAATTTATTGTATACCAAAAGATTTTGAAGCACTTCTCAGTAGGTTTAAAAAATTACTTGCAGCATATCCTGATTTTTCTATTTACTGTTGCTGTCATGTTCAGTCTTGATCTCCCTGTATTCCTACTATTGTAGAAAATCTTGTTGTAGGAGTACTGCAATATTCTTTCTCTCTGTATTCTTGGTGAGTGGAGAAGGTAGTGACTGTTTATTTATTCTCTGCCTCATCCTTTACTGGGGGATGCCTTTTCACTAACAACAAACAAACAAATGAACATAACAGGGAAGGTACTAAATTTAGTATCATTCTCTCTACCTCTTGTTTTGTACCTTCAGTGAGTGCCTGCCAGAAGTAATCCTGAGAATGTTAAATGAAATTTTTCTCAATTTATTACGGAAGTTCAGTCTCTGTGCTCTTTTTAAAATGTTGACAAATGGCTAACTCTAAAAATGTCTTTTGTTTTTCAGATGATCGGAGTCAAACTGTTCTCCCATTAGTGAAATCATTCTGTGAAAAATCCTTCAAAGCAGATGAATCTATCATAGTTTCTTTATCTTTCCATTTAGGGAAACTGTGTAATGGATTATATGGTATGATTTAATTTCTTTTTATAAAGCTTAAAAATGAGGGAAGATTGGAGAATTTGAACCCCTTGGAAAATACCCAGATTTGAGTGTATCAAATGAAATGGTAGTTAGATTTTGGAAATTTCCTCTTAGGGTGACTATCTATATATTACTTATTGTTGTTTTTCTTTTGTTTAGACAGGGTCAAAGATGGAAACATGGTGTTTTATCTTTATTGGTTTGACTGATTTATTTGGGTATTCTGGAGCCTGTGATTTGTATGATTGAATTTTTGAAGCTAGAAACCTTTCAAAACATTATGATGTTAACTTTGCTCATTTCTGTGCTTGATCTCCTTTTTAAGGCACAGGGCAGAGTGTGGTCCATAAGAAACTTCAGGGGAGAAAGGAGATCAAATGCCATGTGGATTCCCCAGCTGCAGCTGAGTCCAAATCTGTGCTCATAATTTTTATACCCATCATTTTTGCTTGAATTTTCACTTGATCACAGCACAATATTTCTTGATAATTCTGCCCACCATGTTACCTGTGGAAGAATGGAACAGAATCATGGCTTTACATTATAATTTTTCCCATGACTTTTAAAACCTTTGATCTTTCCTACAGCTCTTTAAAATGAGCCTTCATGATTATGTTAAAGACTATCAAAGTGACCATCGCTTCACTACAGATTACTTGAAATGGTTGTTCCACGGTGTTAAAATGTTATTTCCAGAAGCAAAGGGCTAGGACAGTCCATCCTGTGTTTATAATTTTTTTCCTTTTTCCTTTTCTCTAGGTTGAATGACTAATTCCTGATCTTTCCATCTGACAAATTCATATTTTTCTTGAAGTTTTATACCTTAGGACAGTTGAATCAAGTGAAAGGGTTACTTCACATGTCTTGCCAGATATATTGCTGTTCACAGTTTTCAGTATGAAAAATTGCCTTTTAAAAAAAATCTAGCAGCTACTTAGTCTTTCTCTTTCCTGCCCTTGTGCAGGTGATGCAGATCAGGCTAAGCATGGCACCTTACTGCTGTTTGATGGAATTACAGTCTAAAGTTTTAAGACCATATGTCCAGTTACTGAAGATCATTTTAAACTGTCTTCTGAAGAATAAGCAGACTCTGTCCTTGTTTGATGCTTTCAGAAATCAGTGAAAATACTGAATAGTACCACTAGGATAGAACTTGCTTTCTACAGTTTCCTGTCTTGTCAGTAGTATATGGGTAATTTTCTCTTAGTTGTTTTTCCAAGCAGTTTTTGGAGCATTTTTGTAGTTTTTAATTATCATTTCTATTCACTTGTTGTGAAAGTCATTATCTTTACTACCTCTTTTGTTTCACAGGTCCTGTTGTCCCATACTAGAAGGAAATTGAATCAGTTTGACAACTTTTTGTTTTGCCATGTTGGCTACTGCTATTATTTTTGGGGGAGTGTATGTGTGTCTGTGTTGGTATTTAATAGTAGATATTTTTATTTCTTTTTTTGTTTCAATTTTTTCAAACATGTGAAAGTAACCTCCCTTACCTAATTATATGGCTTGTCCTTTCTCTCTCCAGCTATTAAATGTCAGTACCACTTCAGCCTTTTTCTATTCTGTTATTTGACTTATTTAAGATTTCAACAGCCAGGACTTAAGCATTTTGAATGCTAGAATGAAGCACATCTGACTGCACATTTTGAAAACCTCTTGTTTAAGATGCACTGACCTGTTGCTTCTCTACTTAAAGTTTGAATCTTTGTCAGAGTTATTAATTTTACTCAACCTGATGATACTAGTGGAATTTGAAAAACAAAGTAAAATTATTTAGCATTTCAGCCTTTTTCATACCAATCACTGATAGCTTTCCTCCCTCTCTGAAATAGAAATTTGAGCCTTTTCTTGATTATTCTCTTATTACTGATGTACTTGTAGTTTTTGAATTCTTCTTACTAGTTACATTCCAATTTGTTCTGAGTACTTGTGTGTACTGATTATACTGTGCTAGATTCAATGGGGATTGGAGGGGGAGGAAGGATAAAATCAAGATATTTGATAGATTTTAAAATAAGATTTGCTTGGGTATATTATTAATGGCATTTGTAATGAGGAAAGTTTGTTGTTTTGTTTGGTTTTTTTTGGTTTTTTTTCTTTTTTTGAGGCATTTTTACTCCTGAACAGCACTTGCGGTTTTTGGAATTTTATAAGAAACTTTCCACACTGGGTTTACAGCAGGAAAATGGGCATAATGATAATCAACTACATCTGCAAACTCTGGAACAGGAAAAGAAGTATATTTCAGTGAGGAAGAACTGTGCTTACAATTTTCCAGTAAGTAACAGTAATTGAAAGTTTAATATTAATTTGTGTTGTGCATATAGTTCACTAAATAGGACTGTGCAAGTGATAGAGGACTTATTCCCAAATTGTTCATTGTTAGTTAGATTTTAAGTCTTTTCTGCAAAGTTTCAGTTAGTGAGGTTGTCCAAAAGAGTTAGCAGGAAATACTGTTCTTTGCAGACTCTCAGAAAATTATTGACAAATTTTGACTGAAGAAATGTTGGTCTAAGAATTTACCAGTCTTATTCTCTCCTACACATTTTCTCCAAATGTTTAGCACAAAGGATTTGGGAAAAGGTCTGTGAAACAGTCTCCAGTTTAAAACCACTTGAATCTACACTTTCACATTCACTGTGTGTCACTTCATTTTAGGGAGTTGGAGATTGAAACTGAATACTCAGGTTGATGTTTTACTCATCTTCCTGCCTGAGTACAGAAAGTTTTTTCAATTTTATGTGAGGTCTTTAAATACACCAGTCATATATTTGTAAATCTACTTTATATTTTGAAATTTGCATTAGTATTCAATGAAAACATGTTTGCACCAAGAGCCAGTAGACAACTATTTTTCCTTCTGCCTTTTAAAGGCAAGCACACTATATGTAGATAGACATCTGTTGATTTATTTGAGCAAAACCAAGGTATGTACAAAGACAGTCAGTGAAATTCAGATTCCTGCTTTGCTGCTTGCTGAAGTGTTCATTGTTTTTGAAGTATCCATTTTACCGGTTTTGCTAGAATACAGAAACGTTAACAATATTTATAAATCTGAAGTTTTTTATCTCATAGTTTCAGTCCTTATCTTCAGAAAAACAGCCTGCAGCATGTCTGGAAGATAAATAAATTTGGTTTAGTTCTCCACTCTGGATTTTGTCTGGTGCCTGTGTTTTAACAAGGCTAGCAAAACCTCCACACTTCCTTCTTAAAATAACAATCTGTTCTCTCTCAAGTTCATCTGATAATCTGTGGTAGTGTCATCCTTTAGCTGTGTTGTTAAAAAAGGACTTTATCCTTTCACAGGCCATGATTGTTTTTGTGGATCCAAAGAACTTCCATTTAGAACTTTATTCTATATTCTTCTGCCTTTGTCATGACCCTGAAGTTTCTGTCAGATATACCATGGCCATAAGCTTCTTTGAAGTAAGTCTTCTCAAACTCACTTGGATTTATTTTGTTTTGTTTTCTTCTTTAAGTTTACATTTGTGACTGCTCAACCAAAAATAAAAGACTTGAGAAAATGTATTGAAATTATTTAGTTCATCAAGGGTGTTAAGTTCCTTCTAACCTCTGTGTACAGCCCATATACACACATAATTTTATTTAAATTGTGTGACATTTGGCTACAAGAGATTACTGCTAGGTCAAATTGTAAGAAGCAAAAGGTGGAAGAAACTTTTGATGATCTAGTACCACAAACATAAACAAATGTTTATGTAACTATAATATTTGAAGTTTTTCAATAGTAGTAGAAAACAGACAAATTGGAGAAAGGAAATTCTCCCTTTTGTGCCCAAAAACTCTTAGAACTGTAGTTTGCTGGTGTAAGGAATGTTTATGTGGAACAAATCTAAATGAAACGCTCAATTTAATATGAAACTTCTTGGAAATTTATGCAGATGTATGAGCATATGTAATCTTATATTTCCATTCAGCTTATATAAATTCTACTCTGTTATTTTCAAAAATTTTAAAAATGTAGAAATGCATAGGTAATATTAATTATATGGAGTGAATACCAGAAATTAAAGTACACTCTCCTGAATATAGAAACCAATATGGGGAAATCTTTAATGTTTTCATGTTCTTTCACTGAGAATCTTTGTGTTTCAGTCTTTGAGCTCAGCTTTGATCCATTTTGTTGCTGGGGAAATTGGTAAATTAAGCAGTTTTTTGAAAATATTTAAATGAATAGTAGAGGGGAAAATGTCTTTATTTCCACCACTGTAAGAAAGATATATGGATTTCCACACATCTTGTTACCTATTAATGCCTTGTTTTAATGAATGATAGTCCAGCCTAATTGTTGAAATTGTAAAATTAGCATCTAATTCTGCATAATATTTTGTTTTAGCTGTACAACAGTATTAAGGTACTACCTGAATATAAAGAAAGTATTTTAGCTCATTTAAAGAAACTGTAAAATTACACCTTGGCCTAAATGTGCATTTAGTTCTCATTGGTTTAATTTTAACAGCTTAACTAGGCAGCCATGTGACAGACAAAAATGAGTAATTTATGTCATTCCCTGCTTGCTGGATTATTTTCCAAAAAGTAAAAGTCCTTGAAGCCATTTCCTTAAAGCTTCATCTTGATTGGAAGTAAGCTCTTATTTTTGCTTGGCTTAAAAAAACATTAAAAAACATCATCTAGATATTTATTGTGGCAAAAAAAAAATCACATTCCTCAAGTTTTTGTTATGTTTGCTATAAAACCTTTATAATAGCATGGAGATGGACTGCTAGTGTTTTTTAAAAATTTACATGAGACTTATGACCTTCCTTCAGTTGGAAGGTTGGGGAAACTTAAAATCCAGCACAGGCTAAGAAAATTTTGCGGTTTATGTTCTGTAAATTATACAGCAGGCTGACTCTTAACTCTCCTAATTTACAACATTTGAATATTCCACAGTGAAATATCTACCCTTGCAGTGCAGCCTAAGACATTTTTGGTAAATGTGAAATAGAGTTAATTCTAAAAGCATGTTTCATAGGTAGATAATAGACCTGTTTCTTGACTCATGTTATTTATATAAGCATATTTTTAATGTGATCAGTGGGAAAGTACACAACTTTAGGAAGCTGATATTAAACACTTTTTTCTTCATGCTTGCTGAAAAATAAGCGATGTTGTGCCATGGAACTAAAGAATATTTCACCTTACTATCTTACTGTCATTTTTTAGGTTGCTAAGCTTTTAAATTCTGATGTGTATACAATACATAAAGAACTGGTTACGCTATTACAGGATGAGTCACTGGAGGTAATACGCTTTTATTGGAACTTTTCTGGCTTGTTACATCGAGGCAGATTATCTTCATGTTTAATAACTCTTCACTGACAATTAGTAGTAGAGTAACAATTTGAAATGATTAACAGCTTTTACTTCTATTGCACAGACTGTGCATAAAGATGCCAGTCTTCTGTGAATAAAAAGGAGGAAAGTAGGAAGGTGTTTGAATTTAGTAATACCACACTAAATTTATTAGCTTTTAAAAATACTAATTCTAAATAGTTTTAATTGCTATATTATTTTCTATCATACAAACTCTAAAAAGCTTTCAGTTTGGAACTATGTTAAAATAATAGTTGATAGGATTCAAGGTCTTTTGCTTTGTTTTATTTTTATTGTTCAATTGAAAAGGAGATAAAGAAGTTGTCTATGGTTTGAAGATCAAGATTTATGGAAAGAGTTTTAGTCCCAGGTAACTTGCATAGAACATGAATCATTGAAAATAACATGAAAAGTTATATTGGAGTTAACATAGTTATACTTTATTGGATGGAAAAAAGAGACATATTCATATTAGAGAAAAAAAATCACAATTTCCTCTGATACTGGTTACTCCAGTAATAAGTTAGAGTATTCCAGTTAGAAAACTTGTCTGATCACATATATAAAAACAGAGACTGTAATACTTATATTACTTACTGCATTAAAATATCATAACTATCAAAATAGTCATCTGTGCAACTAATCAATGCAACTAATCTCCATTCCTTTTCAACATGAGAGAGCAGTAACTTGAAAGGTGTCAGCAGGGAGATGTTGGTGGGAGTTGAAAATGGAGTTCGTTTACAGACCTCTTTCATGCAGTCTTTCTTTAAATAGGTATTAGATGCCCTAGTAGGTCACCTTCCTGAAATCCTTGAACTAATGACTAATGGAGGAGAAAAGAATGGATCAGAAAGCAAGGTGAGTATTCTCATGGGGTTTTTAGAGTTTTATTTCTAAATGAAGGTAGTAAGAAATTTCAGACAAAATTTGTAGGAAAAGGCTTTCATGATTAGTTTCTGCTTTGGAGAAAAAGGAAGTTTCTGTTTGTTTTTTTTTAAATTTTGTTGATTTTATAAACTTTAATATTAAAAAAAATGGAAATGTTAATATGAAAATGAACAGTTTATATGCATTCTTTTTCTAATTAACCACAGTTATGTGAAAACAAAATTTGGTTTCATGGTAAGGGAACAATAGCTAATACATGTTTTAAATCTTTTTCATACTGATGTGTGAATTGCTCATGGGTGTCATTTTCAGGCTTCTGCTAGAAGGAAATAAACTTACTTTAGGAGTAAAGACACTGAATTAAGAGATCTGTGCTCAGCTCCCACCTTTTCTAATTTAATTGTATATTGCTCTGGATGATGGTCTATTCCATGACTCCTCACCTCTAAGATGGAACAGAAAGGATGCTGGTTTTGAGCATATTTCCTAAATGTATGGATAAATTGAGATTTTGCAGCAATATAAGAATTGAAGAAATTTATTTTTTTTTACAGACAGAACTTGACAATTTAATTTAAAAATTGGAATTTGTCAGATGTTTACAGCTGTAAATATATATTGTATGTATGTATATATGTATTGCATATAGCAAATGCAATGTCAGGTGTGGCAGTCTATTTCATTTTTCTTAGTGCTAAAGGGAATTTAGCTTGGCTACTATGAATTCTTTGCCTTCTACTGAGAAAAGGTGCATAATTCCTACTATAATTAATTGCTACTAAAACTAATTAGGGGATTGAGAACAATAACTGCTCAGATAAGGAGGATAAAAGAGAAATGGGATTCATTTGGTTTGAAAAAGAGAATGTGAGGAGAGTTGGCATAATGGTCTTAATATCTATAAAAGGGTGTTACAAAGAGAACGGTGTTTGGTTTTCCTTTGTCAGGAGAAGGGATTGGAGATGAAAGTGTATTTAGGTAGTGAAATAGCTTTTGGATTAGTCTTCCCTTCTTATATTGTTGTGATTAGCTTTTTAAACAGTGACAAGACACATCTTGAAAATATAAAATGATTGTTTATCCTTCTGCTTCCAGTTACTTTCTATTCCTGACTTGATTCCTGCATTAACAACAGCAGAACAGAGAGCAGCAACTTCTTTAAAATGGAGAACGCATGAGAAGTTACTACAAAAATATGCATGTCTCCCTCATATCATATCAAGTGATCAGATCTATTACCGTTTTATTCAAAGGATGTTGACAATCGTTTTGACAAATGTGAGCTCACCTGTTGCTTTCTCATTTGTTTTTATTTGTTAATGCATGTTAGACCACTAGATATTTGCTATGTGTAGTACTTCCTGTGTTATAGAAATCTTAAAGTACTATCCCTTTCATATGGTATAGCAAGCTGTGGCATTTTTTCTATGAGAATTTTCACTGAATACTTGCCCCCATTTGAGGAGCAAAATTTGGATTGACAGTTTTCATCCTACCCAAGACTTCTTCCTTTCCTTGTGCTCATCATCAGTTTGTTTCTAGTTAAAACTTTTTCCTCTGAAATTTGCCTTTTTTTTCCTGATTCCATACATTACATGGTATTTGTTCTTTATGGAAAACTCTGCATTTCTAAAATAAATTATCATTTAGAGCTATTAGTCTGAAATTTTACTGGGTTAATTCAAGAATAAAACTGTTGTAAGAGAAGATGTTGTTAGTTTTATTCCTAACACTTGAAATACAGAAGGTGCCTTGCAAACATGGAATATTTTACAGTGCTTATAAAATAGTTGAATCTAAAAGTTGGGCAGAAGGAATAAAGAAGCAAGTGTCTCATGAACTGGCCAAACTTCCTAATTCTCCCTTACAGTATGACATTTATTTCAAAATTTATAAAGTTAGGCTACATTTTAGCTATTTTTTTTCTAATTCTATGTATGTTTTTAGTCATACTCCTTCAGATATGTTCAATTGTGTTCCCTGTATTTCTTTCAAGAATGTCCTGCCAGTCCAAAAGGCAGCTGCTCGGACTCTCTGCGTTTATTTGCGCTACAATCGCAAACAAGAACAGAGACATGAGGTTATCCAGAAACTGATCGAACGTAAGATGATCTTTCCTCGATTACTGAGAAATGAAAGTCAGTTTTAACTGAAGATCTATTTACAGTTACATTTATTCAGTGTAATTTCCTTTCATCATCGGAGGGACTACGCTTGGAAGACATTCAGTTGCTCATATTATCGCCAGCAAAATGTACTGTGCATACGTGAGGAATATATCTGCAGCTTATATAAAGGGACTGGGGAAGAGGCAATGCAGAAACTGATAATATGCCAAGACCTCTCCAACCCTACTTCTTATAGCCAAAATTACTAAGTTCTGGATACTGCAATATAAAAAGCAGAGTTCCTTTGTAAGAAGTAAAATTCTTTAGAGGCTTAGTGCTGAATAAATCTCAAAAATTAATTTATTTATCAGTCACCTAAAGTTGATGTTTTGGTGTATGCTATGTGTTTTAAAGATAGCTTGGAAGTTTTAACAATTCCCATTAACATTCCTTAATGTTTACACAATAATTTTGATACTCCTGTGACATGATTTGAAAGGCATACAGGGCTTTGTTTAACACAGTAGCTAGTTCACTTTTTCTAGTGATAACTGACAGAATTAATTGAATTCAGAATCTTAGTTGTTTACTAAAAGGAAGAACTGAGGCTGAGAAATTTTTTTGATGACTGTGATTGTCATTTTTAAGTTAAAGGTCAACCTGTGAAATGTTTTCTCTTTGACATTGAAAACTTGACAGATAACATCTGCAAATTTTTATTTTTCAGAATTGGGTCAAGGAAAAAGTTACTGGAACAGACTTCGGTTTTTAGATACTTGTGAATTCATTATGGAGCTGTTTTCAAAATCGTTCTTCTGTAAATACTTCTTTTTACCTGTGCTTGAACTTACACATGACCCAGTGGCAAATGTCAGGTATGAAGAATATGTAACAGTGTACAGAAAAAAAAAGTTTTAAGTATTTTAAATATTTATATATAAAAATACTTTATATATAAATATATATAAATAAAATATATAAATACTTTAAGTATTATATTAAGAAATACTGTTAAAAGTTTTACATTTTGCTTAAACAGTGGGACTTGAGTAAAAACATAAAGAGCCTTCAGGATGACCAGTATTAAAAATGCAGGGGAGTATGGGAATGGTGCTATAAAATCCCAGCAGCAGGTCAGTTCTGAGTGTTTGAGAGACTGATCAAAAGCACCAGAGTTTGGGAATGAAAGGAACAATGAGGCAGAGGAGAGCCAGCAATAGATGGGAAGAAAGTAATATAGTGTTTCATGGGTATAAAGAGAGAATGCAACTTCAATCTCCATTAATTGCCATCCATTTCATCGTCACTGTATGTAAAGTGAAACACTCAAGCAATTATTTCAGTGGTCTGAACTAAACAATGTAGAACAGGTTTTATGTTATGGAAAAGGGTATCTACTTCATTGTTAAGGAAAATTAAAAAATAATACAGTAATATTAGGGAATTTGATCTCTTATTCGTTTTTATACAGTGTTTTTCCTGTTATTTTTGTAGTAACTGTTTTTTCTTTGTTTTCCAAACAGATAGGGACCAGGCAGTTATTACCAATAGGAAAATCGATTTTTTTTTGTCACATATTTTGTGTGATTTTATGCTTTTAATCTTGTTTCTGATGTGTGCCATTCATGTTGTCATCATTAATATACCTGAACTTCTAATATTAATGCTGCACAGGGATTTATGTAAGCATAATTTGCACATACATGTGTGCACTCAGTAAGCTTTGCCACATACTGTTTATTAGTAAGTGAAACTGTTTAAATAGACACTGTGTTTAGTACAGCTGCCACATCTCAACTCAGCAGGATCCTAAAAATTAAATCAGTTTGTATGATGACGAACATTCATACCTCATGTCATTAAATTAAGAGGATTATATTAAAACAATAAACTAAATTTGTATATAATCTGAAAGAGCTTATTCCTTTTAACAAATATTTTAATTAAAAGCTCTATTGATACAATATTAAAATTTAATGGAAACTTGAACTAACTTGCAATCCCTTAGCTGACATTACAATTCATTTTGTCTTAATTCTTTTCTGGATTGTTTTTGTACAAAAGAAATGCAGTCTCCAATGGAGTGAAGTTTACAGGCTAGACACTGTTAGCTGATGGTTTTAAAACAGACTTAGGGACATACTATTCTGGATTTCTACAGTGTGGTGTAACTCATGGTAATGGGAAATTGTGACTAATTTGTGATTAAAATATTTTAAAAAGATGGTGAGATTAATTAATATGAGAAAATTTTTTTGAATGTTATTATCAGAGTTACCATGTCTGGCAAAGGATTGTCTCTGATCCAAAGCCAGTTGACTCTGAGAGAATATAACCATGTATTGTTCTTGGTGTTTCTTTTAAATCTATTTCTGCAGGTTAAAACTGGTCACTGTTACATGCTATTACAGTCTGATCAAATGAAGGAATTTTTATTTCCTCAGTTGCATGAAATATTTTTAATTTAATCTGCAGATTATTTTGTTGATAATGAAATAAAAAACAATGAACACATTTTTTTATAAAAACAGTTTAAAAACAATATCTCAGAATCAAGGGAATGAACCACAAAATTTTTTAGGTTTGACAAGACTTTTAAGACCATCAAGTCCAACCATTAGCCTAAGACTGCTGAGTCAACCACTAAACCATGTCCCTGAGCACCACATCTGTTAAATACCTCTAGGGATGGTGACTCCACCACTGCCCTGGGCAGCCTGTTCCAGTGCTTGACAAACATTTTGGTAAAGAACTTGCTCCTGATATCCAATCTAAGCCCCCTTGGAGCAACTTGAGACCATTTCCTCTTGTTCTATTTCTTGTTATTTAGGGGAAGTGACCAAACCCAGCAATACACCCTTTCAGGTGGTTGTAGAGAGCACAGGATTCCCCCTGAACCTCCTTTTGTCCAGGCTAAACACCCCCAGCTCCCTCAGCTGTTCCTCGTGAGAGCTGTGCTCCAGACCCTTCCCCAGCTCTGTTGCCCTTCTCTGGACACACTCCAGCCCCTCAGTGTCTTTCTTGTCATGAAGGGCCCAGAAGTGAACACAGGATTTGACACAGCTTCCCAGCCACTCTGTGCACTCTGTCCTCAGCACTGTGGGGCTGTTGTGAGTGACCCAAGGGCAGAACTGGCACTTGGCCTTGTGGAACAGCACAAGCAGGGGCAGCCTCCAGACATAGACAGGAGGATAAGGAAGGGGGAAAAAAGGGCTTGCTTTTCTGTCTATCTGATAGACTTTCATCTTTGCAGTTGTATGGAATTGCAGTAACATGATTTTTGGTGAGACTTTGTACCAGATTTCCAGGGTATTTAGGTAGCTGATAAACTTAGGTGTGCAGATCACTTGGAAAATCTGGAGGTCTCCTTATTTTTCTAGATTAAATAAACCAACCCAGACAACCAAAGATGTTTATGGACTGTATTCATGATCTGTAGAGATTTTTTGAAAACAGTATGTCTGGAAACAACACAGAAGCAACAAACATATATGAAAAGACCACCTTAATTAATTATTTTGTGTCAAATGCTAGCATGCAATTAATTGAGAATTAATAATATATATTAAGCATCTGCTTCAAAAGATGAATATTTGGGTTGTTTGTTTGGGGTTTTTTTTTTGTAGAATGAAGCTATGCTGTTTGTTGCCAAAAGTAAAATCTACTCTGAAGATTCCCACTGATAAACATTTACTTCAGCAGCTGGAATTATGTATAAGGAAACTTCTCTGTCAAGAGAAGGACAAAGATGTCCTGACTATTGTGAAAAGAGTAAGCATTTTTCTTTTTAAGCAGCATTTAATCTTGGGTTTATCACTGAAAGTTAAGATTACTAAGGTTATGCTTTCTGTTGATTTTCTCAATGTAAGAACAGGAGATAAAAAACTTTCATTGTCTGATATGTAATTTTGAACAATTAAAAGATGATGTAGTACAGTACATTCTGTGAAATTTAGGAGAGTTGATGTTTCCTTGGTTGCTTATATTGCAGTTATCTTGTAGTGATTCCAATTCAGGATTTTGGCTCAATGACCATTTATGAAAACATAGCAAATGACTAGAGAAAGATTGAATGTTGATTCTAGTAAAACTCCTCAGGTCTGTGAGATAGAGGTATCTTGTTAGTCTATGTATTTTACAATATACAGACAAAGCATTTTCAGGATTTTAAAATATTGCAAATGTGTTTTTAAAATGTGAATATTTAAAAAAGTACATCTTTAAGGAATGCCTATGCTTAGTCTCAAATTTAGAAACCATGAAGTGAAATAACTCAAGTGGGTGGCTTCTTTACAGGGCCAGTCTGCAGGAGAGACTGGGTGAACACCTGTGTGGAACTTCCAGAGTTATACACAGATTCCTGGGTTGCTTTTTTCAGTCCTGGTTCCTAAGACTGTGCTAAAGCTATTCTTGCTGTGGTGCTTCCTTGAGTGTATTTTGATTTCTATATAGATATTCTGTGAACCTTTCATTGTGAGTCTCAGCAGGGGTCTGAGATTTCTCTCTGACACTTTTAAACTGCATTTGTACCACAAAAATAAAAGCACAGGATTAAAATATTTAATAAAAAAAGACAATTTTTTACTTCAAAGTGTGGCATGCTATTGAGTAATAATAAATAACATTTTAATCTTCTTTATAGACGGTGTTAGAATTGGACAGAATGGAGATCTCTGTAGATGCTGTAAGTGCTTACTAACTTTAATGCTTATCAACTACTTTTAGTTTCCATTTTCATGTAGTGATTTTTTATTTTTATTTATATTTTATTTTGAAGTTTCAGAAAAGGTTTTATGAAAATGATTTGTTGGATCAAGAAAAAGAGAGACAAGAACATCTTTTGGAAATGGTATATTTTATCAGTGCACTGTCATTTTTAAATAGTTTGTACCTACATATTACTGAGACAATAATTTTAAGTTAGGGGAAATGCATATTTCGGAGAGATGTGATAAGTTCATAATCTATGGGTGGTTTCATTTTACACTTTATAATAGGGTTAAGTCCTTCAAAATAACATGTAATATTTTTTGTTTACTACCTAAATTTTGGGGTATCAATTAGAAAAGCAAACTTGAGTTTCTTGAGAAATACCATGTATAACATGATAAACTGATTAGTGAAACACCTCAGAATTCACAAACAACTTCCCTAGGCAAAGAAATTAATCTCATAACTTCTTTTGTCCCAAGGAAGCTGAAGAATGCTCTATGTTACAGGCTTTCCTATTAGCCAGGAAAAAGAGAAAAGCAAAAGATGTAGTAGGCACTTCAGCACACAGCTTATATCTTCACCACATACTGCATCTCCACAAAGCCTAGACTGGACTGCTGCAGTCCCCCCATCATCTGCTGCCTCCCCTCCAGCCTGAGGTGGGAGAAGCTGAACAGCTGATAGGATTCAGAAGATCCTAAAATTGTTAGCATGGTTCCTCTGACTTGTAGTAAATTAATTTCTTCATAGTAAAGCCAGAAGAGGTTAAAGAGTGCTTCAAAAATGTCATTTTTTCCTTTGTTTGTGGTCCACTTTGATGTCAACAGGTATTGCAGGTCAGTATGAGCAAATATAGCTGACCCACAGACTTCCTGCCACTTCCCACTGTCTCCAGGCAGAGGTTCAGCTTTGTTCTCAGGACCTACATACACTCACTCCAAGTCTTGAACTTAGCTCTAGCAATCTTCAGGTAGATACAGTTAATGCTTTTATGCTGAAAGGATTTGTGTGGGGCAAAATAGCCTCCAGTATGCTCTGTGTTACCCTGTATTATCTGATGACATCAAATTTTGCCCTGTTTCTACAGCTATTTACTTTAGAAAAGCACCTGAATTTTTATGGTATTTTGCACTGATATGTGCAACCCTTCTGTATCAGAAAGGCCTCTAAGCATTGTCTGTGAGAGACATGCCTTTGGGGAATGTGAGATGGATACAGTGAATTGTGACATGTTGAGGTCCCAAACAGATGAAGATGAATTCAACCCACTTAAATGTATCTGACTGCTAAAGATGTTAATACTCAATATGTTAGTAAATTTCCTTAAGTAGCTGAAGCTATTTTCCAGGAACCCTGACCTGAATTATTTGCCTCTTTCTTTTCTTGAGTTGTAATTAGAACTACATGAAAAAAAAATATTAGAAATTAGAAAAAATAGAGCAATTATGGTTCACTTAACAATCTTTATTAGGAAAATGGTTTAGAAAACAAGCTAGTATTGTATTGTTTTTTGAAGTTGGAGTGATATCTATTCACAAGTGGAATATACTTTTAGGCTAGGTAGTATTACAGAATGGCAAATAAATTCCATGAACCTGAACAGTTTTACATAGTTGATTTTGTTTTTCATAAAGATTTATCAACTGTAGGTGTTAATTTTAGATCTTTATAAGGTTTGAATATATGTGACACACCTTAAAATTTAAGAAAAAAAAATTTCATTGAATTGGATGAAATAAAAGTGCTGTCTGTTCTATTTTCAGTGTGTCTGTGTTACAGAAAATTTTTACACTGCCAGCTACCAATGTCTGTATCTCTTTTGAGTATAAAAGAACCTAAAAGCCAGGCATAATTTTAAGTTTCAGATGTGAACTTCAACTCTGCTTTCTTCATACTGTGGTTTTTAAATGAAATACTGCTTTCTTTCTGTGCTACTTAATTGGTTGTCTGGATATTCATCAGGGATTTTACTGCTAGCCTGAGAGAGTAGAAATGAACTGTTATTTGGAAACTTAATTTGTTTACTTTTACTTGAGTAATGTCTAAGAAAATTGTTTATTCTTTTAGGAACAATTAGAAAAAGAAAAACAGAAAAATGAAGGAAGGTCTGCAAATATTAATGATAAAATGTTTGAAAAGAAGCGTAAGTTTGCTTATTTGTTTACATACATGTTTATGCATGCTTCACTCTTTTTCAAAGATAGTAGAGGAAGGAGCAAGAAAGAGACACTTTATAAAATAATTAGAGATGTAGAAATTGGAAATAAAAATTGTTTTTATATGTTTCTGAAGCTATTTATGAAAAAATGCCTCATATTATATATAATATATAATAATATATATGTTTTATTTTGGCTTTATTAATAAAATACATTACAGTTTTATTTCTCTGTTATTTTTTATTTTGGGATATAGTGTAAGTACTGCGGTATTTCTGAAGTGCTGGTACTACTGATTTAGATATTATTACTCTTTGGTCCAGGATTGTGATATGTTATGTCCTCTCTTTTATATAAATTTAAGTTTTAAGAGGGAAGAGATTATACTGGACTTTTTTTTTCTTTTCTATAGGTAGAGACAGTAAAACATCATCAGTGTTGGCAAAAAGTATCAATCTCTCTATTTCTGGAAGCTCTTCTGGTACATCAGCAGGTAAGAACAGTTCAAAAACTCACCTGGAATACTGATCTCACATCATCAACTTAAACCCCAGGAAAGATGCTCTTGACGTCTGTGGACCCAAGTTTCACCTACTGCACAGAGGAAAAGATTCTTCTCCTAGAACTGAATGTATTTTCTATGGTTTTTAGTTTAGTTTTACTCTTTGGTATATAAATAATGACCTAAGGTTTATTTTTTTTTTTCAGTTGAATTATTTAAATCATCTCATTCCTTCAATTACCATAGGTTGACAGAAAAATGTATTTAAAAGTGTTCTTAATTATTGAGGAAATGCAATATTCATATTAAAAAAAATGTTCTTTATAATTTTAGGCAAAGAAGAAAAAAAATCCAAGCTGGTTCGAAGCCAATCTTTCAGTACTCAAGTACTTCATCCAAAATACAGCAACATAGACAAGTGTCCTAAGTATGTTTACAATCTTCATTGCTTACCTCATAGGCAAATGTTTGCTATTAGCTTTTTTGAAATTAATGCTCGTGAATCTCTGAAAGTAGTGATGTGCTCACTGAATTGTGACTTATATTTTCAGCTTTCTGTCTAATTGATTAACTGAGGGAAGAAAAATCATATAAGGCATGCTGAAGCCTAGAAATGGTTATTAATTCCTTTTAAGTTAATATATGCCACCTTTTATCATATATTAAAAATAATTTTCAATGTGAATAGCTAAATCTAATTTTGTACATTTCTTAAAGAAATTTCAGCATAACTTTCTCATTTAATTCTTTCATATAAACTCAGAAATAGCCTCCAATACTATTAAACAACAGGATGATACAATTGAGAGGAACACTTTCGGAAATAACCAACTTAGATTTGTTTTGTTTGGGTTTTTTTTAAAGTAAAAGTTCTGCTACAGGATATACATCTTCAATACCAGGAATGGGAAAGAGTTGTATGTTATCCTTTAGTGGTAAGTAGGTTATTTTAATGTATTTTACTTCAGGTTTTTTTGTGTGCATGTTGAATATATGGACCCAATTAGACAGGCATACTCTAAGATGTCATTCTCCTACAGAAAGTAAAATTAAAGATATCCAATAGGTTTGGGCATTAAGTGCTAGTCTAGTAAGTGTATTTTTCAGATTTGCTTTCCCCTACATGTTTGGCTTAAGTCATATTTAAAAATACTAAAAATAGACTGAGTTTCTCATGTCCTGGTTGGAATTTCAGATATCATGAAAGGTTGGGTTTGCAGTTTTTCCCCACCTATTTTACATGAGGAAAATGAATATTATATAAAACTTCTACTGAATTAAGAGAGAGAAACTACTGTTTGCAGTTCTGTTCGCTAAATTTTAAAGAGTTTGGATGATTAAAGATAAGATTGAGATGAATGGCTTCCAAGAGAAACCTGTCTTTCTGCTCACCAATAGGCACTAGGCAATTAAATTACATTAAATAGCTAAATTTTAATCAGCTAAAGATTAGCCCAAGAAATCACACTCTTTACATCCATTAAATGTATTAATATTTTCTTTGAAAATGTGTATTCCAGTTATTTATAAATTTATATTGATATATATTATATTATATTTATTACAGTTATTTATAAAAATACTTGAAGAAATGTTAAGTAGAAGCCATTCCATTAAAATTTTGGTTTACTCCTGTAGGAATTATGCCTCTATTGCCACAGGAAAACCAGCTCATTCTATTTACTTTCTGTGCACTGTTGTCAAGCAAAAATCTTTGTCTAAGCTGCCCCTCTGTGTTTCAGATGATTCATTCCGGACTCATTCTGCTGGTAATAGTGGGAATGCTGTCTTCCCTTCTAGTTGTTCTCGCAACTTATTTAACTCAGCCAACCAAAAGAACAACGGCAATAAGGAGGGTCAGTCCCGAAAGATGAGCGTGTAAGTTGTTGACAAGGTGTTAAACTGAGCCCAGGGGTAACGTTTTCAAGGGGAACTCAAAAGAGCCATGTAAAACTAGGCCTGTATTTATCGTACTTTTGCACACTGATTTTGAAATACTAAATTAGCAGGGTAGAAATGAGATGTATGCAATTATAAGTGTTTCTAAGACGGTGTTACCTTCTAATTAGTCTTTCACATTGTTTCTCCTGCACATATTTGCATTCAGCTGGTACATAATTGAGAGGGTGGAATGGGACAAAGTGAAGGTTAGTGCCTTGCATATGTAATAACTTCAGTCACAGTGATTTAGCTGCCTGTAGTTGGAGAAATAGAATGGAAGTATTTTTAGACTACTTAGTTTTTCATTTTCCTTTTTTTTTGTGAACTTATGTATGTTTATCTATTATTATTTAACAATTCTGTGATTAATCTTGAGACTTAGGATGAACTGGTACTGGTACTGGTACTTGTTATTAGTGCTGCCTTCCTTGCCTTACCATAGCCATTACAAAAACCCACAAAAATTCAGTGCTAGGCATCACCCTCAGGCTGCTTTCCTTTAAACATCAGCCTATGCTGTTCAGCATTTTGCAAGAACAAAATCAAAGGCGCATTTCTTGCTCCTGTGCTAAAACTGTAAGTCATAGAAAATCACTGTGACATATACTTACCCAAATCTCTGTAGACTCTAGCAGCAAATTCCCTGCAGATTCCTTTTACACTATAACTAAATTACTGTCATTGGACTAGCTGTAATTTTGTGGGCTCACACTGAGGCTTTTCTTTGCTAGCAGAGATTTGCATTTTTAGCCAAGGCAGAATGGCGAAAGGGAAGGAGCCAGCTACGGCAAGAAAGGGAGTCTGGGAAAGTAGACTTCAATGTAACAGAAACTACAATGGGAAGCTAAGATAGGAAAGAGGAAACATACTGGTTTGCCAGCTATAAAGAGGAAACAATAGTCATGGTCTGTTTTGCTGAATTAAATGTCTGTATGAACATATTTTTCCACTTCTGTATTTCCTTTAAAAAAGAAACCAAAACATCTCCCCAGCTTTACTCAGGATTTTAAGTTAATAAAATTACTAAATTGTAAAATAAAGCACTCAAAAGTTTAACAAACAAAAGAAGAACAGGACTCAGTACAGTATTTACTCAGTATTTACTCCTGTACTCAGGACAGTATTTATTTAGCTCCTTGCGTACTTGATTTTTTTTCTGCTGGAATTCTACCATCTTCCCTGTACAAGATAAATTATTTCCCAGAATGAACTCAAGCTTGCACAGTGACCTATAGTTTTTAAAACTGCTTTTATAACGTAGAGAAGGTTGGAAGGAAAGTTGTGAACGCAGATGGACTGTTTGTGTTGAGTAAGTGGTTTCACAGGAATAGTACTTTAAGTTGCCAAATCACTTTGCCCTCTGTCCCTGTCTTTGCCAGTGTCTAATGGCTTTTCTTAATACTACCCACAGTACTTCAGACTTTTTATAGGTGATCATTAGGGGGTCAATTATTTCAAAGTGCACCATTTCAAAGTCAGCAGTTAGATTAGTAGACATGCTGACATTTTCTGCTATCTATAAGGTAAATGGGGCATTTATCTTGAGAACATAAAATGTCATGGAGTGCTACATAGTTTCAAAAATTAGGTGTGCTCAAAACCTCATTTTCTTTCATCCTAATCACTCTATGCCTCTTTTCCTCGCTTTAAACCAGAAAATTAGTTCAAATGTTGTAAATATTTTTAGCAATCTGTAGAAATTCCAATTATTTGCCATCCCACAAGGATTTGGGGAAAATGAATGGATTAATATTCCCAAAGCAGTGAGGTGCAAAGATTAGCTAGATATATTTTTTTAAATCACATAAAACGTTTCCAAATTTCAAAAGTTTTTCTGTCTTTCATTTAAACTAAGACTGATATCTTTTGTTTAAACACAGGAGGGATAGTAAAAGGCTCACACAGAGCAGTTTGCACTTTTGTCTTCAGGCAGGAGAATGGAATGTAAGAAACACAGCTTCAAGTCTCTATGTACCATTCCCAAATGAATACCTTAAGAGCAGAGTATTTGAAAGTAGGTATCTGATCACACACAGTGATCTGGGTGCTTTGTCTGGTTCAGGAAGTCCCTGAACTGCATAGGGTCAGAAGCCACAGACAGTATACCAGGGGAAAAAAAACGTTTTTGGGGAAAGAAGAGGAAGCTTAAGATGTCCTACATTTAGTTCTGAATAAGAATTGTAGTGTTCTGTGTTCCTTTGGGAAAAAATATCTCTCAAATAGGTCCAATGGCTGCTGTGCTGTGGATTCAATTTCCCTTTTGTAAACTGACCCAATACTTAACTGTTTTCCTGAGAAAATGAAGCAGCTCTATAAGGAGATATGAAGAGATACAGATACAGGAAGGTTTGATGGTAAATGCATTCAATCACAGATATGCATTGTTTAGTACAGTTTAGTTGTACTTTTTATCTTTTACTCAGGAAGTCAGGCCTGGTGCTAAATATATGCACACTTAAATTTAAAAAAACACCAAACAAGACAACAAAAATGTCAGTTTCAAGGAAGCATTATTTTCTAAGTTGAGTGATGGAAAAACTGATATCCAAATATATAAGCAGCTGACAGAAACCACTCTGAGAGAAAAATTTGACAATTGTACAGTGAGAGGTACAATTGAATAGATGCTCATTAATGAGCATTATATTTGGTGGACTGACTAAAGGAGAAAACTCGCTAAGGTGAGAAAATAATAATTGGCTATTTTTTAGACTGTATCATCATGCAGGTTTATGTATTTGCTGATTAAAATTTGCACTGACCATCTCAATTCTGGAAAGACCTAGCTTTTAGTTTGCTGACTCTGCAACTTGAGTAAGGTAACTTCTAATATGTTTCTTTTTTTAAGTAAATGTGTGAGTAATAACACAATAATGAAAGTATAATGGTTCTTAGTGATATATGTTTGGACAAAATATTGTTTAATTGCTGAAGCCTGATATTTTCCATAAAATTGTTCTCCATAATACTGGCAAATGTTCACTTTTGACAATATAGTGCAGCTTGCAGGGATGAAGAATTTCTGATTTCATACATGGTAGTACTCCAGGGTTTTTCAAAACTCAGAGTTACTTTGGTGGAGAACTGAAGTCTTTTCTTACTTATGAACTAATTCATACGTGTGTGCCAATTAAAGTTTTATCTCTTTTTGAAAATACCATAGATGCAAGAAAAGAAAAGTTAGTAAATCATGACCCAGTGCTCACAAGCAGGTGACAAGGAAGTATTGTTTTAGTGTAGCTGCCAGTTGCTAGGTCTTAGGTAATACTTAGGCCATAGAAAATGCCAGAATTATGCTAAAGCAGCACCCATATAACTTAATGAGGGAATCACAGAAGAGATGACTACCTGCTTTAAGTACCTGATGGAATAGGAAAGAATCAGAAAGAGCACTGGTTGAGTGCTTTGTCCCACAAGAGATCTTACTTAGTATGCAGAGAAGTTTTTCTGACTTTCTGTTGAAGAGTTGCCAGTTAGATTATGAATCATCCTGGTGCAGACATGGACCTAAATCATGAACACTGTGTTCTATCAAGCAGTCTGATCTTGTATCATTATGCTATGTAGCTTTTTTATATTCTTTTGAATGTTTTCAGCTCTATGAGATTAAGTTAGCTATAAGATGTTTTGCTTGAGTTTATGTTGCTGTAATATGACTGCAAATGTTCAGCATGCAATTTTTTAAAACTATTTAGAAACTTTATAGATTCATCAATGAATATATCCACTTTATAGATAGCAGTTAAGTATTTTGCATCTTGCCTATAGACATACTTTCTTCAAGGATGTGTGGTACAGATTTTCCATCTTGTAAAAAGAGGGAGTAGATTTATTGTTGCATAAAATTAATTTTCTAATTAATTTATTGTTAGAAAGTTAATTTTTATGCAACAATAAATCTAAATAAATACCAGTATTTTATAAGATGTCCACAACTGACCTATAAGACATCCAGTTTGGTGCATGAGCATGATGTACCAGTTATATTTATAAACAAGTATCTTAAGGTAACGTTGTTCATCCAGTCATGTAATTGCTTAGAAAGTTAAGCACAAGATGAAATAGTTCTGCCACTACTACACTTTGAGTTGGCTACTTACAGCTTTGGATTATGTTTTCATCATGACATTTAAGATGCTGGAAGTTCTGAGTTCCAGTGAGACTTGCCATGTGTTTTGCATCCAATTTCTATGGTGAAGCTATCCTGCCACTGATATATGATCATATAATATATGCAGTTTTTAAATATTCAGCAGTTTTAAAACTGTGGAACAGAGCAATATATTGTGTTATTTGTAAATGGTACTGTAAAATATTGATGCAAGTTAGTATTTCCAATATTTCTAAAAGTTACGCCCCATTCTTTGAAGTATTTCTGACTGATACAAATAGTTGTTAATTGACACAGCTACAACTCTTTGAAACTGAAGCACAGTATATCTAAAGGTTAAAAAAATTAAGGCATGAAAAATCCAGAAATTACCCAAATGACCTTGTGGTCAGTCTAGAGATCACAGTGTAATGGGCCAGACTTTTGGTGCTTTTTGTAGCCATGAGTAGACTGCTTGTACCACCTTAACCATCTCACTTAGATGGATCTCTACAAGAGCTTCTGTAGACAACTTAGTGGAGAACTTCACCCTTGTTGAGAAGAATGCCCTCAGAATATGTCTATTTGGCTTTTCCAGTGGGTGCAATAGAGCAGCTCGTCATTTTTAAAGTACAGCAGCTAAGAGTTATGTTAAAATGTTGTGCACAATAGCAGTTTAATATGTTATGTAATTTAATAATATAGTAACAACATATTTTGTGTGTTTCTTCTTTTGTATGAAGCAAAAACAGAAAATCAAACTCCTAGATCATCTGACAGAAAAATGAGGGAACCAGAGAGTGAAGGAAAAAACGTTCTGATGGGATAAGGTGGGAGCAGCAGATGGGACTCTCTAGTGCCTGCACTGAATAAAATGCATCCTGCAATGATAAAGTTTAAAATAAATCTTTTAAATAAAATTCCAAGCTGTAAAATATGTTCTGATAAACAATGTAATGGTTGCAGAATTTTAACATTGTAGTGAAATGATATGAAATATAACTTCAGCTATGTGCTCTTAACTGCTGCAGCTAAGGAGAAGATTTTGTTTTCTTCAGTTATGCCTTTGTAGTTTGAAGTCTTGGATTTAGAATGCACATACCCATTATTGAATTGGCTTATTTACAACCTTAGCAACTCTTAGCTCCCGTATTTTAAGCAAGAAACAGAAAGAATTGTTATATGAAAAAGTAATCTCACATTTTAAAGAATCTGCAAACCTAATTTAAGACCAAAGTCCAGAACCTTTGATCAATCTATAAAAAAGCAGACTTTTGAAGCATTGTGCTGTGAATTTGGAATTAATGTTTTTACAAGTAGTAAGTTCATAAAAATTCTGTGTAAGTTTCAAAGAAATCTAGAAGCAAATATCTCCAGATGTTGTAAAAAAAAGTTTTATTTCATAAGTTTTGTTTTATAAATACTTGTTTTAATTTTGGTATTTCAAATTGTATTTTCACTTTAATAATTTATAATAATGAATCTAGGTTTTAATCAGCTGCTATTGCAAGCTGTCATGGTTCAGTGATGTCATCTGCATTTGTTTGTATCAATGCTAGTATTTCTATCAAAATTTATGTGGAAAAACATGCAATCATATTTTGAAAAGTTCTATTTATGCCAATACTTGAGAGAGAGATTATGAAGCTATTGTCAGCTTCTCTTTCAAAATGGAGGCAGCATAAATATATTGATATCAGAAACATATGGTTTTTAAAATTTATTGGTGTATGATAAAGATGATCTGGTCTGTGTATGCATCTGTGTGTGTGGTTACCTTTTATAATGTAAAAACATGAATGATGATTTACTCAAAATAAAACCTAGGACAATGCTGTACATGCATGTTCTTGAAAAAAAATTTCTCAGGGCATCTTTTTAATTAAAATAAATAAAAGCACTTACCTATGAAGGGTATTTATTTAAAACAGAAATAATGCTGGATTGCTTGAAGTACAAAATGTTTCTTTGGATTAAGCGCTGTCTGAATTCTTAAGCTTCCTACACCACAGTTGGATTTAGCTGTATTGTCTATCTTAAGTCGTAGGCATTGTTGAGGTTCTGTGGAAATACTTAATTTTTCAGTTTGTTCTGCAGCCTGGCAGAGGATCTTTTAAACCACGAATTTCTTTAAAAGCTTATTCAAGTTTCATGGTGTTTAACATTCAGTATTGATATAGGTGCACAGATGACCTGGGCTGGCTCCTCCTGGGCTGTGCACTTGGTTCATTAATGCAAGCAGGTAGCCCCAGTTCCCCAGGGACAGCTGACTCAAGTGCCAGCTCCAGCTGCTCCCCTGGGGGCCACAGGAGACTCCTCAGTCTGTCCTGACCTTTGGCAGGGACCAAACTCAGACCATGAGCAGCTGGCTGTAGAACAGGACTCAAAACTGTGTTTGCCCTTTCAATGCCTTTACGAGAGTGTTGGGGGTTAGAGCAATGCAGAACAACCAGTAAGTTCAGAGATTTGAAGCTCTTTCTCCCCTTAATAAGCATGTAATGAGTTCTGTAAACAGTCTGTCTTTTGTTCCTTCTGTCCCTATCTGTCATTTTAAACTGATTAATTTATTTAATGCTGATAGTGTGTGCTCTACCCAATAACCCAAAATTCCTTCAATGTAATCCTTAAATGCTCTGTTCATACATTATTTGGACTGGACACTTTCCTTGTAAAATGCCCCTGGTGTCTTGTGCATGATTTCACCAGTCCTTTGCCCTACAGACCTCCATCCAAGCAATCTTTTTAGGGGTCACTTACTTCTGGGTTAGTTCTGTTGAACAGCACCAATGCATTTGGACCATTCAGAGCACTGCTTATACCTGCTGGTCAGCTGTAGCTCTGGAAAAACAGCTGAAGATCAACTGTGCAGTGGAATTTCTTGGTTTTCATACAGACCAGTGGCAGGAAGGAGGGATTTGCTTTCTGGGTACATTTGTAATGCAGTCCAGAGTAAGGTTAGATGCACCTTCATAGTCAGATAGCAGAGCCTGCCTCCTAAGTCCTTTTGTGAGTGGTTTACATCAGTGTCTGGGCTGCTGTGGGCAGACAACAAGTGGTAACTGAGGTGATTTTTACAGATTTACCAGCTTTGTCCTATAATGTATCTTTTGTATCTTCTCTAGCAGATGTATCTATGTGTGTTCACTGATAGACACCTGTGAAGTTCCTTGCCAAATGATTGTGAAAAGTCTTCTGCTCCTTTCTGGGCAATTATTTTGTGAAGGTTGTATGAGCAAGCAGAAGAACACTGGGATCTGTTAGTTGCATAAACCTGGAAGTAGCTTTTTCATTGTTTCGTACTTTATACATAGGACTCTGCTAATTAAAATCTATTAAATGTTAAGACCTTGTCATTCTCTTGGAAGCACTGCTCTACCTGAATAAAGGAAATTGTGTTTAGATCATGGAAATGTTTTTCTGAAACATGTTGCCTTTTGGATTTTATAATCAACTCTGTGAATAGATTTATTCCACTTTAATGGACGTATGTTTTTTCCTCCCAAAATCTGCCTTAGTTCAGTTATAGAGTCCTGTTACGTTGTTCACCCTGGTGTCTAGATGGTATTACAGGTAGAAATCCTGGGTTTAGGAGAGGGCTAGCTTTGTGCTATGAAATAGTACAGGCCAGATTTTCCAAAATTAGAATACTTAAGTTGTTTTTCAGAATGATTTTGTTTTTAATTCAAAGAATATTTTTAAGGCACATGATGTATTCTGAGAAAATGAGGTGATTTGATAGTCTGCATAAATGTTTTGAAAGAGGTCACACTCACAATGGAGACTTCATGATAGACATTTTCTACAGTAATAAAATAACTCTCTCCAGATAAAAATTATAAATTCTCTTTTAGGGATTGATACTGCTTCTGGTTTTATAAATGGCAAAGTTCTGCTAACATTGAGGTCCCTGGGCTCTTCAGTCTCTGCAACAGAAGATAACATTGATAGGAATATGCAGTGTTTGGGAATGAACTTCCTGAATATTTTGGCATGTGAATGCCTGGGGCTTTTTATTCATATTTATCACTAAAATACTGATTTTTGAAATTTCACTTCTGTGGTTGTTGGGTTTTCTTTTACCAAAGGTAGATGTTACAAGTCACATTTTTGTTGCTTTGAGCCTCATGAAGTTAGCTTGTTATGTGACATTAATAAAATATTGTTAGGATGACCTAGTGCTAGCTGGGGAGACAAAACAGGTTTTCGCATTTCATGTTTCAGTGGTTTTTTATTCTAAAATAAATTTATAAAAATAAAGCTTCTTATGTACCAAAGAATAGACACTATCACCTTTATTCACATTTCTGTTGGATCAACCACCCTGCCAATGAACAGTAATGTTTTAAAAGTTTCTTCAAAAATCATGAAGAGGAAAGGTCGGTCCACTTTGATTACAGGAGGCACCGTGAATGCAGTTATTTCTGATCCACTTGCTGCTGCAGCCTCAGTTCCTTCTTCATCCACTTCAATAAATGCCTTTTGGACAACCTGAAGTGCAAGGCAGAAATAAATACATGACAGAAGTAAATACTAACATGAGGAATATTTTTGCAGGTGAAGGCGTTCGGTTGAAGTAGGCTTCTGTTAAGAATTAAAATGAGCAGCTCAGGGCTCTGCCTCTGTTAGACTGGGTTAGACAGACTGTGCTGTCTGTTTCAGCAGCAGAGGAGTCAGCACAGCCACTGTGCCCACAATGCTCATGGTGTGGATGCTAGTTCAGGAGTCATTGCACTTTTCCACATTTCTGAGCACTTAGAGATTGGGGGTTTTGCATGAAGCAACCATTGCATTTGTGTAGAGTGCTCCTCTTTGCCACCTAACTGTGCAAAGGGGCTTCTCGGTTGTAGGAAATGTGTTTTCACCAGTCACAAACACTGACTGGCTGGATGTGTCATTCACAGCTGATTTTGTGAAAGCTTAGGGAAATGCACCAATCTTTCCCCTGTATATTTCTAATTTCTACATTTGGTAGCACAGACTAAATATGTAGAGCAATGAAGTACAGTCCTGGATTGGTTTGAATATTTTCCTTTCCCACTGAAATTGCAGCCTGGAAGAATCTGATTTTTAATTTTTTAATCTTTTCCATTTTGTTCTTTCAGCCTGCTTGTACCTCTGAGTGCTTCTGCTGTGTTAGTGTCTGTATTGGTGAACTGCCTGGTCATCTAGTGGATTTCCAGCTCCTAAACTCCTGATTGTAGGAATTACTTATGTGAAAACTGTTAAAAGACTTCAGCAGTATTAAGCTTTCTGCTGCGTAGTCTTAAATAATATATCTGTCTTTCACAATTCACAGGGACAGGATGCTCCTCTGGCACTTTGTAGCTGATGCACATATTGCTTCTAATATCAGTTAGCAGCTCCTGTTAAAGTGTGATTTTTTCATAACACAATAGAGTTAACTGCTAAGAATCAACATGAAAGTTACATGATCAAGAGGAAGGGAGGAAAGTGCTGCAGATTGCTATTATATTTCCGTACAGTGAAATAGTTCATACCAAACTGAAAATCACTGCAATTTTATCCATTAAATATTTCTTAGGATGTTACATCTTTCCAGAAAGGTTGTTTTGTTAAGCCACTGCAATTTTGAAAACCTGTAGGTCAAGTATGAGAGTTTTTGAAATTTATATAGAAATGTTGATTATACCACCTTGTTAACTGGCTTATCACAAAGGCTTCTATAAGGATTTGGTGTAGGGAGACTTGTAAGGGCAGCAGCAG